CCCCCCCCCCCCCCCCCCCAACCAAAAAAAAAACAACAAAAACATAACCACCCAAAACCAAAAATAGGAGTAAACAATAATAGTAGTGGTAATAGTTGTGTAGTTAATAATGGCTGCAACATATATGAGAATGGAAGTATACGCAATGATCCTCTAGAAGTCAATTTTTGATATTCAGCCACACTAATTTGTGAATCTATCACATAGGTTAGCAAAAGATCATCTGAAGAACATAACTATCTATTTATTTTCTTAATTTTTAAGATGCCTGAGGGTGGAACTAAATATACCACCCGAACTCATGGAGAACTGCGAAAAATGCTGCATGAATTCTGCAAAAAACTCGTATCTTGGTAAATCCATAAATTGACAGGTAGTCGGCAGATGGCGCTAAAACTTTTTTTGCCATGTAGTTTAATCTCATGCAATTAAAATGTGCCAATTTTAATTCTCTTGGACTAAAAATGGGTATGTTAAAGAGGTAAGATGTAATTGAGTTCCATATAACTTTTTTTTTTTGCTCTTGGGAACAAAATGAGCTGTGGTGTGGTGTTAAACATATTTCCTCATTTGAAGTTTTATGTTGCAAGCAGTTTCTATCCACTTTATGCTCTTCCTTACTTTATTTGTACCTTACATATTCCCATCAAGATTGGTGGAATTACCTTGTCATGCTCTCATCAGCCTGCATCAGGTTATACATATTTAACATGATCCATATAGTGGCTTGTACTGACTGTCACATAAATTAGTTGGATATGCCAAAAGGGACCTTGGACTTCCCTTTTTGTGAGCACGGTATTAACTACTTGTATGTTGGTGGATCAGGTTGAGCAACCATATTCCTCATTCTTTGAGTTCATATGCTCTATGGTGATCCTGTAACTCAGCAGAAATTTTAGTTGCACTCTTCATGAGAAGGTGGGGGGCTAAACGAGCAATTCTCTGGAATCGATCTTTTCTTGGCTGGTTGGAACCACAGTCATCTCTACATTTCAACTGTACTAGTGACGTTGCTATTCCCAGCTTTTGTTTCTTTAAAATAATGTTGTTTTCAACTTATAAGGAATCATTGTCCTTTTTGCAGGATACTTGAGCAATTTCACCATGCAGTCTGAGGATCTTTCATCATCTAAAATGCCAGTGGCTGAGAAAGTCTCCCGAAAGAATTAGGTCCGGCCGAAGCAAAACACGATCTTCTGTAAATTAGATGTTGATGACATTTTCAATGTCAACAATTCTCGCCTATTTTCGATTTTGTTTGAGGCATGTAACAATTATTAATTCCTCCGTGGTCAACATGATGACATAGATGGTTTATGATATCCTGTTGCTCTGAAGAGAACTAGCGGGGGTTGAGGGTTTGGAGATCAATGAGCTAACTCTGCGTGAAGCAAGATTCTATAGAAGTTTGCATCTTTTATCCAAAGTGTTCTCATCTTTTATGCATGTTCTTGTGAGCAGCCGGCTCATAAATAACCGTTCTCTTGTAGTATGATCAATGACGCACTATTGTCCCAGGAGCTAAATAAGCATTTCTATGATCAACTAACAGAACATTTCAGGCTCGGCCATAGCCAATTATATGGAGCATCCTTATTTGAGTTTTGAGTCTGCTGAGACGCGCAAACACTGTATTACTCGTGTGCACAGTTTTGTGATGATTTTTTGGAAGAAAACGGGCCGTCTCTCACTACTTACCAGTAATTTTGTGTCTCCATGTTTAAGTTCTATTAGAAGTAAAACAATGAAGGGGATATACACAGATCAGTTAAAAGCTTCAGGATATGTAGCCTTTCTTGAAAGTAGTGTAGAGACAAGCGACGGTTGATGCATTACAGTTCAGTATGTTTATTGCATTACAGTTCGGTATGTTTATTTCTAGGGGAAAATGCTTCTAGCCCCCAAAAGCTAAGAAAACGTGCTTCCCACCCCCAAGACTTTGTCAACGGGTGTTTTACCCCCAAAAATAAAGATTCTGTTCTTTAAGCCCCCAAAACACAAAGCCCAAGACATTAAAATATGTGAAGACCATAATACCCTTCTCTCTCTCTTTCTTTTTTTATTAAAATATGATGAGGATTATTTTATTATTTTTTGTTTTCTCTCTCTTTATCATGAAGTATTGAGATGATAGTTGAAATGATTGATGATGATTATTTTATTATTTTTGTTTTTTTATTATTTTGGTTGTTTGTATTGGAAGATTATTAAAGTTACGGGTTAATTGTTAAGGTTACGAATTAATTGTTAATATTACGGTTCAATTGTTAAGGTTCTGAATCCTCTTTCTCTCTTTCTTTTTTTATTAAAATATGATGATGATTATTTTATTATTTTCGTTTTCTCTTTCTTTATCATGAAGTATTGAGATGATAGTTGAAATGATTGATGAGGATTATTTTATTATTTTTGTTTTTTATTATTTTGGTTGTTTGTATTGGGAGATTGTTAAAGTTATGGGTTAATTGTTAAGGTTACGAATTAATTGTTAATGTTACGGGTCAATTGTTAAGGTTATGAATCCTCTCTCTCTCTCTTTCTTTTTTTATTAATCTCTCTCTCTCTCTCATGATGTTTCTTTGATGATATTGAAATGATTAAAGAGGATTATTATTTTATTATTTCATTTTTTATTCTTTTTGTATTTTTAGAATATTCGTTGTTAAGGATAATGGTTGGTTGTAAAGGTTTTTTTTATTCTTTTTGTATTTTTAGAATATTCGTTGTTAAGGATAATGGTTGGTTGTAAAGGTTATGCAATGATTGTTAAGGTTACGGGTTGGTTGTTAATGTTACGGGTTTATTATTAAGGTTATGGGTTTGTTGTGTAGGTTACGGATTTGTTGTTAAGGTTACGGGCTTAATTGTTAAGGTTACGAGTTTAATTGTTAAGGTTACGGGTTTAATTGTTAAGGTTACGGTTTATTAATTGTTAAGGTTACGGTTTAATTGTTAAGGTTACGGGTTTAATTGTTAAGGTTACGGTTTTAATTGTTAAGGTTACGGTTTTAATTGTTAAGATTACGGGTTTAATTATTACGGTTACGGTTTTAATTGTTAATGTTACGGGTTTAATTGTTAAGGTTATGGGTTTAATTATTAAGGTTACCAGTTTAATTGTTAATGTTACGGTTTAATTGTTAAGGTTACGGGTTTAATTGTTAAGGTTACGAGGGAGAGAGAGAAGGGATCCATAACCTTAACAATTGACCCGTAATCTTAATAATTAAACCCGTAATCTTAACAATTAAAACCGTAACCTTAACAATTAAAACCGTAACCTTAACAATTAAACCCGTAACATTAACAATTAAACCCGTAACCTTAACAATTAAACCATAACATTAACAATTAATAAACCGTAACCGTAACAATTAAACTCGTAACCTTAACAATTAAATACGTAACATTAACAATTAAACCTGTAACCTTAACAATTAAACCCGTAACCTTAACAATAAAATCATAAAATTAACAATTAAACCAGTAACCTTAACAATTAAACCGTAACCTTAACAATTAAACCCGTAACCTTAACAACAAATCCGTAACCTACACAATAAACCCATAACCTTAACAACAAATCCTTAACCTAAACAACCAACCTGTAACCTTAACAATCAATGCATAACCTTTACAACCAACCATTATCCTTAACAACGAATATTCTAAAAATACAAAAAGAATAAAAAACAAAAATAATAAAATAATAATCCTCTTTAATCATTTCAATATCATCAAAGAAACATCATGATAGA